TTTCAGTAATTGAACTGAAGTCCTCTTAGTTTTCCTGTCACAAAGCTTTGCAGCAATTAGTAATGCTTTAAGTAACTATTTCTCAAATGTTAAACACACACAAGTACAAATGTCTTCCTACTTGGTTTTTCCAGGAGAAATGCAGACTAATTTTTTGGCCAAGGTATAGCAAAATTTGTGTTTCTAACTCACCTGATGGCTCCCTTTCAAATCTGCTTTTGTTCTTTTTTTTTTTTTTCTTAAAAACCTGTAATTTTTAATAGAAATTGAAAGAAAGCATGTCATGGGAACAAATGAAGATGGACTTCTAGGTCTAGAGATGCTTGGCACTGAGTAAATGCATAGAACTTACAGAAGTGATACCAAGCCCTTGACAAAGTTGAGGGACATTCCTGCAGTACTGGGATATAAACATATTTTCTCAGAATTTAATTACAGAATTCTGTGTGGGGTTAATCTGGTTTCTGTCACAGTATTACGTTACCGCCACATGAATTCAGTTGGGATGTTGCTTCACGTGTAGCTTTTATAAGACCTGAAATTACTATTCCAGATAAGAAGCCAAAAGTACATAACGAAATATCCTGATAGAGAAAAGTGTTACAGTCAGAGAACTCTTCTTTAACCTCCTCCTGGCTGAGAATTCATCACTGGTATGAACTGCACTCTTGGAGTTATCTGCCGTTCCTCTTGAGGTTAAACGAGCACTCAGAGGAGCCGTGTGAAAGTGCTTCTTTGCAGGATGCAATTGGTTCTGCCATCAGCAGGACTGAGAGGTCTAATTTCATGCCTTGTGTCACCTGAACTCCCCAATAACTCCCTTCCCTCAGTGCTTTTCTCTTTAGTGAGCATGTCAGGGCAGGTTGAGACGTGGCTGCTGATCAGCCTGTGTGTGTTGTGCTCCACTGACCAGTGTGTGCTGTGCTGGGCCCTGGATGGGCAGCGAGAGGGGCTTGGAGAGGGCAAAGAGCTGAGTTTAGCAAAGGAAGCTCACCAGGCCTTTGGCTGGTTTTATTGCATTTGGGGAGTGGGGTCTGGTGGTGTTGAGGGCTTTGATCCTACCCTACCACAGTTTTTTTGAGTGTGGTAGGATCTTTTTCTTCCACTTAACTTCACTTGAGAGGATGCAAAGTTCAAAATTTTTACATTTGTAGATATGAACAGATGGATAGACAGGCAAAAAGGTAACTTGTGGTTACCTCCAAGAGGAAGTGTTTTCCAACTACCTCTTCTATGAATAAAGTTATTACTGAGCCTTTAATACTTATTTATGTATTGGAATTATCAGTGTAATAATATTAAGTGACTTTTATTTCACAAATAAGTGCCTTACAGATTAGGTCCTATATTTCTCTTTTTAAGAGAATGTTATCATCTTCTTTATGGATGTTTTTGATGTTTTTGTGAACATTTAGAATTTCTCCACTTGAAAGGAGTGGTGTTATAAATTATCCTTATAAATTCTCTGATTTTTCTTGTGTTCCCAGTTTACAAAAAAAAAAAAGCCTCAGCTTTTCTCCTCGATCAAATATTAAAGCACATACCAGGCTGCAGTCACATCTAAACTTTTGAACTGCAGGTTTTATTATTCTGCTCTTTATAGAGAGTGTCTGATTTTATAGAATTGATAGCAATAGTTTAGCGTGTCCTGACACCCTTTGGGAACAGTGGTGTGCTCAGACAGATGAGGAGTCATCTGAGTTTATGAGAACATAGTCACAGTCTAGCTTTGGAAATCTGTCTTTGTGCCACCACTGTTTTTCAAGTTCTATAGAAATGTCTTTGGGTACTCAGTATACTCTCAGAAGAATGGAAGGCATAAACGATTGGGTTTTTTAACATGTTCTCAACATTATTTCATTGGTAGCTCTGTTTCAGTGTACCATTGCTTCAGAATCTCAGTTTTCTTACAAATTAGAGCGATGTAAATTCTACTCTGTGTGATTGGAGTCATCTGTCCAAAAGGGAGTGAGCTGGATCCACCTTCTGTGCTCTCTTCTGATAATAAGGGAGTCCCTCTGCACACTGGCATTTTACCATCAAGCCCCTTTTATAAATCTCTTTGCAAGAGAATGAAATTATTCCTGGCTATTGATTGGAGGCTGTTAGAGCCTTAATAATAACAACTTGCAATTAAACATTTCCTTCCCTTTACCTCTGATACCTTTGAGCTCTGCTCTGTAAAGGACAATCTGTACTGCTAATATCAGACCTTTTTGCTGCAGTTTCCAAAAAATTTAAATGAGAAATTACCAAATAATTAGATTCTGTCATGATGTCTTGAACACAAAAAGCAAGTAAGGGACAATTGACTTTTTATATTTATAAAATTTGTGTATATATATGTATATATGCATACATACTTCTTATATGTATATGCTTATACCTTATAACATTATATGGTGATTCTGCTTCTATTTCTTTGAACACCAATGGGCATTTTGCCTTTACATTCTTTGCTAACAGAAGTCTGAGTGACTGTATCTTGTTACCTGCTGACTGAGGAGCTTCCCATACTTGCAAAAGCCTCCATGTGTGACAACAAAGCATTGAATCCAAAATAACCAGCTGTGATTTCTTGGTCTGATAGGAGGGAAGCAAGTTTATAAAATCCTGTAGGCAGTTCTGTTACTTCATTTGAATGTATTATTTTACTATATTTGAGTTTAGAAATTTTGAACTTAGTCACAGGTAACATTACAGTGCTCAGAGCTTTGCCCTCCTTATAATGTATATATCTAAAGCTGTGAAAGTCAGTGGGAAGGAAAACTAGACTGTGTTGTGTGATATAATGCCAGGATGCTGCACTCAGTCAGGGTTAATTGTCCTGTTTTGTCCGAGTGTGGTTCACTTGGGTAATTACTATGACAAGAAGCAACTAATACTCAAATTTCATTCTCATGGTTTAATCATAAGATTCCTGATTCATAGGCACTGTAAACAGCAATGCAAGCTAACCTGTATTCTCATTTACCTTCTTTTTTATGTAACTATCTGAATAAAGGGGGCTTTAAAAGACAAAACTGCTCTGTAATACCTTCTTATTTTCTATAATCTGGCATTTTGAAAACTGTAACCTTTCTTTTAAAATCTTGTAATGGAAATACATAATATCGTACTCATTACACGATTTTAGCACTTACCTTTTCAGGAACATGTATTTACAATGTTCTTAAAGTCAAATGTCACAGTATAACCATGTTTCATACTCTTGAGTGTTTGATCCTGCGTACATCCTGCTGTGTATCCATCAAAGAAATTCTACCAGCACGGGTTGATTGATCCACATATGCATTCAAAAACTTTTCTTGTGATTTGCTGAAGAGTGTAAAGGTAAATTTGCCATTGGGAAGATTCTGGATCATGTCAGCACTGGCCAGTTAACTTCAGCTGTAAAGTGTCTTTGACTTTTGGCTTGCAGGCATCACAGTGTCATAATATTCTAAATACAAGACCCTCCTTTAGTTTTGGCAGAAATAACTGAGGGCAACCTGTTCCCCCAGCACAGGTGATATGGTAGGGCTTGTCTGAACTGCAGGTTGGTGGTTGCTTCACATCAGTGAAGGTCCCAGAACAAGAGCTGGCAAGCTCGGAAGAGTTGAGTGCTGGTCTCTAGGAAATGCCTCCCTGAGTTGGGGTCCTCAACAGAAAGTCTACGGAGATTCAGGCTGAAACAACACTCGAGTGGCAGCCGTGTGGTCCTTGTTCTTTCAAACTGTGTAGTGTCAGTGCCACTTCCCTTGCTTTCTCAGCTCAGACCTCATGGCTTGAGACAGGGGAGCACCGAGATGTTCTAAACTTCTCAGTGCAGGCTATGGCATGAGATTTAGATGTGCACCTGGCAGAAAAGAATGCAATTAAGTTTTCTGCCTTGGATAAAACAAAGGAAATAAGGTCCAAAGAGAGTTGGTGTTTCCAAAAGAATATGTAGTTGGTATGGTCAGCCCTGAACTTGCCCTTTTTGCCACAGTTTCTGAGCATGTAGCACAAAAAGCTATTGCTTAGCGTTAAATAACCCTTCCCAAATTCTCTTGGAGAGCACTTGCCAGTCCTGAAAACCACCCTTTGTCCTATAAGCAACCACTTTATATTTCTGCACCAGAGCCTGTTTTGCAAGGTACATTTCTGTACCTTATTTTTTGTGCTAATGTAAGTCTTTGCTATTTTTTCTTGAAGGCAATCAGTCCTGAAAAGTATGCTGAAATAGGTCTCCAAATGAATTCTTTCCTAGTGTGTTTAAGAATCACCACAGTAGGCAAAAGCATTTGCAGAGAAACTGCTCTCAAAATAGCTCAATTAAGATGAGTAAAGAAATTGTACTCACCTATGCAGCAACTGCAGTCCTTCAAAATGGATTATCCCTGTAGATCAGGTGACTAAGTAGTCACCTTTTTGTTTGTTTGTTTGTTTGTTTGGGTTTTTTTGGTTTTGTTTTTGGGGTTTTTTTGGGGGGGGGTTGTTTGGTTGGTTGGTTGGTTTGTTTTTGCTGTTATTTCCTATATTCCATGGTAAAAAATAAATGGTCAGAGTACTAAATGGCTTCAGCATATTGTGGGTACTCCTGGTGAGTTAAACCCAGTTGTGTGTTTCTGGATGGAGTGGGTACTGCTGGCAGCAGTTCCCCTATCTCTGGCACACTTGTGTGTAAGGCACACAGGGGCTGCTCGTCTTTGGAGGATCCCATGTACTCTGCTGAAAAACAACCTTTCCTCAGCAATATTCTGAAACACTGGAAGGATAGTTTTGCATTCATTTATATTATGTCATTTCACTAAAAAATTGCTGGAAATCTTGTGGTGTGGCTGAAAAACTTCCAGTACAGAGGGTATTGAAATACGCATTTTCCTGTCTCTGATGTTTTCTGTGGATGTATGCAGTATTTACCACACTGTGCTTATATAGGTTTATACAACCACATAGTGCTTATATAGTTCCTTTCCCTTTTTACATCACAAATTGGTTTTAATAACATAACATGGTTCTTTGTCTTCTTTTTGTAGGCATTTCCTGTTTAAACACGGATCTGGGTCTTCAGCCATCTTCAGCGCAGCCAGTCAGAACTATCCCTTAACATCCAACACTGTTTACTCTCCACCTCCTAGGCCTCTTCCTAGAAGCACCTTTTCCAGGCCTGCCTTCACTTTTAACAAACCTTACAGGTGTTGCAACTGGAAGTGCACAGCTCTGAGCGCCACCGCGATCACGGTGACCCTGGCGCTGTTGCTCGCCTACGTTATCGGTAAGCCCCTCTTCCTTCTTCTGCTGAATTGTTCTTTGTCTTCTCTGTTCTACTGTCTTGCCTTCTTTACACTAACAAAAACCATGCTTTGCTATTAATGTTTGCCATATTTGCTTTGTAAATTCTGGAGAGCAAAACGCCACGTTGGCCAAAGGTTGAACACAACGTGGAATCCTCATTAACTTTCTACACTCTTAACCTTGACTCTGCCTAACAGAGAAATAAATGTTATTCAAGATTACATGTTTATACTAGCAGAGGACTCCTACTGATTTTAATTGCGGTGATATTTTCTTAAATTAAATATTTGGTTTCCATATTAAGCCTTACAACATTGTTGCTCTTAAAGAATTGTCTGGAAAGACCGGTAATGTTTGATTGTATTTGGCCTTGCTACCTTTAATCTTTTTTTTTCGGTCTTTTCACCATTTAAATCTTTAATAATTTAAATCTTTAACATTTTTCCTCTCAATTGTCATATCATTGGCTAGAATGACAACTAGCTCTAAAAATACATAGTATTTTACGTCATATGTTCTAAGATACATTTTGTTATCACTTTATTGAATTCTTGTTTTAAAAAAACCCTACATAGTACCTAACTGTAATTTTGTTAGCAAAATATGTTGGCAGGATTTATGCAAGTAGCTTGAATTGGGGTTTGTTTTTGGAAGACAGGTATATTGAAGGTGGGCTTGAAGTCATTGTAGCTACAATGTACATAGGGGAGCAAATCTTTGTAACTTACTACGTGACATTAATTATCACATAGTTTTTTCAATCTGAGTTAAAAATATTAAAGAGCATTCTGTGTGTGGAATCTTAGAATGTCACTGTGGCTTCTGCAAACATAGGAAAATCTAATTGTTTTTTTCTGTCTTACATGCACTCTTAGTCTGTTGTTTGAGGTGCCAGGTCACGGGTGGCAGGAGCCAGAGTATCCCCGACCATCTTAGAGTTTGAATGGGAATAACTCCAGGTTTGCCTGAAAGAGCACAGTTCCTACTTGGTAAAACTTGACAGAGATCCAAGTACAGATACTTCCAAACCAATAAGTGGCCATTGATTTTCTATATTCTCTGAATAAATGTCTGTCTAGTGAAATTCATTACAATTGCAGCCATTTCTTGTTTTCCACTGGGTTGGATTTTTTTTCTTTGTCCACAGTTACACAGTTTCGGTTACTGTCAGCAAGATGCTCATCAGGAGGGATTTTTTTCTAACATCCTCATCTAATGCATATGGGAAAGCAGATTTGATCATTTCTGGTGTATGATGATTTGAAAGCACCTGAGGATCTCGTAAGCTCCATTAATTGCAGATTTACATAACAGCTGGTGAGCATATGCCCTCGGTTAGGATTGGCTGTATAATTTTTGCAGCCTCATCTGTTTGCTACACATATCCCACCCACACCATTTAGATTTTATCTGGATGAAGCACTGCCTGTTTCATCCCTTTTTAAATTTCAGTCTGCCACTGAAATTTTTGTAACTTTCTAGGGATATACTGGTGCAGGTCATCGGCCTGAGAAGGCTGGAAGCACTCCTTGCCACCATGAATTAAAAAGCTCTGTATGAATCTCCTGTAGATGTGTCTGTGTTTGTCATAGCTTGGTAAATAAGGGTATAGCGTGCTTTTTTTAGTTAGTCAGAAGCACGTAAAATGGAGGTGTCTTTGCATTTTATAATTTTTTTTTTTTCTGCTTACATATTCTATGGAAAAATAGAAATTTCTGAACCAGGAATTCTAATTCAGAAAACTTTCAAGATGTCATTATTTGCTCTTGTTTGCCCCAGACATTTTTCAGTTTCATAAGCTTTCCTGCAGATTCAGGTAGTATTAATTAGCTTATTCCAAGTTAATATTTCTGCTACCCATCTCTGGTTAAATATTTAAATAAGTTTGCGGTCTCTTCTTATGACTCAGGTGCCTTAGTTCTTTCCCTTTTGTTGGGTAGGAATAATAGCATATAAACTGTTTTCAAAGTTCACTGCTGTGTAGGCTTGCATATTTTTCACTTCAAAAATTTAAATGTGCATGTTTTAAATAAGAGTAGTTGAATATAGAGAATCAGACTGTGTGTAACACTCTGAAGTTAAAATTCACTCCTCCAAGTATTTTCTCTTTGCTCACCATGATTCCAGTCCCACAGTCCTCTCTGCAGGCAGGTTTTCTTCAAGTCAAAGAAAGTTATCTCTGAGCAATCGCTACAGACTTGGGCCCAAATTGTAAAACAAAACTCTGTTTAATTTTAGGACCAAACTTAAGCTGAGATCAGCTCAACAGTTGTTACTGGAAGAATAACGGGGACTTTGTGAAGGCAAAATTGTTTTCATTGTTGTATTTTTTTGGCATAGCCTGCATCAACTTATGAGCTGCAATTTCAGGCAAATGAATATTGGTCTGTGTTGCTATGTAGGGTATAAAATACCCTACTATTGTGTAACGTTATTGTAAATATTCTCTTTTTTTAATCTCATTGCAATAAACATTAAAAAACTATCAGCAAATAAAGAGAAATTTGACCAAAAATTTTGAGTAAATTAAGCAAATACAAGTAGAATAAGAAATATAATTTTTTGTTGTTTTTTTCAGCACCACATCATTTTCTTTAAGCCCAATAAAATGGCTGATGTGGCTGCTCATCTAGTCAGTTTATTTTTAGCCCATTAGCAAGTAGGATTTTCCTTCCATGATGCTTTACCATTTTATCAGCAGCTGGTTTGGACTTGCAAATCACTGGTGCTATTGATCAAAGGTGCTGAACTCCTACTGCTCCTATTGATTTCAGCAGGTGATGCAAATGTTCGGTGCCTCTGAAAATTGCATCTCATGTTCTTGGATTTAACCATCCCTGACTATGAAATGACTATTTTACATACAAATGTATTCTCAAGTATGAATATGAAGTTGTCCCTATCCTTCATGGTATTATCACTATTTATGAGTATGCACTGGAGATGGGTGTTGGGTCTTAAATTACATTCACATGGAGGGTAAGGAAATTAAAGCCTCTCTGCTGCTGCCACGTTGACCTGCCATTTCTCACTCTGTGTGTTACAAGGTAGAGGAGTGATGGTTTCAACACTGGGAAAGGCCAGGCCAAATTTTAAGGACAAATGTATCTCAGTGCATAGATTTATAACATCGGTTGCATAGCTTTAAACAATATAAAATAGTAACAAAAATAGAAATTAGACAGAGAAGGCTCAAGGCGAAAATATGCTGGTTTGCACTGGAGAATAGAATGGTATAGTAAACAGTGCTAAATTTCAGGGTTATGTAAAAGCTGTGATGCAGATGCACATCCCTGAAATGTCATTGAACTCCCTAGTGGGAGGACACTCCCTGGGACAGGTTCATCAGGGTCTCACAGCTGGGAATCGTGGTGTCTGCTCTCTCAGATCCTGAGTCTTACTGAGGAGCTTGATATTGTCACAAATCTCTGAGTAGTCAGAGGAGAAAGCCTGACAACATCTGCTGTTGTCTAAGATGAGGTTTTATTTGTTCCTAAGTCTAAAATACAAGTCGGTAATGAAAAGTGAAACCATCATCCCTTTAGGAGGATTGCAGGAGAGGGGGAGTATATTTGTATTTTCAGGTATAAAAATATTTTAGCTATAAAGAGAAGACTGCTTGAGAAAGAGGAGAATGCTGAGGGTTAAGATGGCTATAACAAATATATGGAAATAAATGGAAAAATCCTTATTTCATCATGCCTGAGTTGGTCCAAAATAACTTATCACTTTAATATGGATTTAAAGAAAGTATTCTTAAGACTGAATCACATATTAGCAGTCTCAAATTTTCATATTTGTTAGGGGCAGAATGAAATAATATTTTTTTTTATAAAATGAGCTTACCAAAGATCACCCCTTCTGTAGGTCAAGATCAGAACTTTGACTCTTATTTGTGTGCAGATATTTTCACCTTTTGCTTCACCTTTACTAGAACTGAGACACTGATGCATCCGTGGCTTCGTGCCACAGTAAAATCCAGTTTTATAAGCAGAACCTGCTAGCAGTTACAGAAACAAATAATTTTCTGGCACTTAGTCAGAGCAGGTGCAGAAAGAGTAGTCAGCTGCTGGTGTGCAGTCTATTACAGCTCCTCTAAAGTCTGGGCTTCAGGGAGATGTTCTACTGAGATTCTGTAAAATAACTGGAAACAGCAGAGAAAGCTAAACAGAAGCCTTGAGTGGAGGTCAGCAATTTGGAGGGACTTCACATTTGTATGATTTTTGTCCTCTGAAGTTCATCTCGCAGGTTGTAAGTACTTATTGCACAGGACTTTTTTGACGTCTCCTCACTACTGAGTGTCTCTTTTGCACCGGAGCCAAGGCTCTTATTCATATTCTGCCAAACATGCAGCACCGGAGTTGACAAGCTGTGCTTACACAGAAGGTAGATAAGAATAAATTAAATTAGATCATTGGCTTCGTAGCAGATGGTGGGTTAATCCAGTTTACAAAGCGAGTTCTGAAAAAATTGCTTGTATCTTTGTGAATATTTACTTTAGTATGCCGTGGAATTGTAGGGACTGAGGTAGACAATCTGGAAGTGTCAGTTTGTTTTGTTCAAATGTTGAATAAAATAAGCAATCTGGCCATTTACTTCTGAGGTAAAGACCCAGGCTTTGGTTCTGAGCATGGCCCAACTGGTTTCACTTAGAGCAGTAACATGAAGCAACCAGAAACCTGCCTCTGGAGAGAGAAAATCCCTTAGGCAGCATAAAGTAACATTGGCTTTATATCTCTTTGTTCCATGAAGGAAATTTATGGAAAGGGTAGATGATGTAGGCCTTTAATGTATCTTTTTCTGCAAGAGATCTGTTTTATACCTAATAATTATTTTATACCTAAGAAGCATAATAAATTACCAAGAAAAGCTCTGTACTATGTGTGGGATCTTCTTTATTGGAGAGAGAGAGAGGTCATTTAAAGTTACCCTGCGCAGCTCCACTGTGGAGCCTGGCCGGGCTAAGGTGGCTGAGGAAGAAATTTAGGTTCACTATAATCCTGAGGTTCAAGCAAGCCAAGAAAGAGTATCTTTTCAGATGAGCTTTGCAGTAGGATAGAAGAACCAAGGAAAGAGAGAAATCAAGTCATAAGTTCAAGAATGCCAGGTAAAGAAGCGCAGTTGCTACCAGCAGAGAGAATATTGCACTCAGCTGTCAGAGGAGAGGTTCAGTTAGGCCAGCTGAGGGGATATTAGGGACTGATGCTCCTGCTGACTCACCACAGCTCCTCCTAACAGAAGTAGGAATTTTGCAATCATGCCAGCTAAGCCATTTCATCTCCACTTGCCTGGTAGCCCTTGGGTTCTGCCTGAAATTGTAGCAGTTCACCAGTGACCTTGTGTACCCTACGAGTAACTGAAGTATTTTAGGTGCTACAAAATACAGGGTTTGTGATTGCAGAATTTTTTTGGAATGCCAGATAGGCAGAGCCAAAGCAGCTTTTGCTTTTTCTGTAATATGTGTAGTCATCAAACCTCAAAGGCTGTTTTGTGTTCTGTGTGAACTTGAGCTACATCACATAATGCATCTTTAGTCCTAATGGTGGGTTGCGTAGTGTTAGTCAGCAACCAGCCCTCAAGAGTACTGCAGTCAAGGTCTTGTGTAAACATCACTCTGGAAGGCTGAACTCCAAGTAAAGGGCAGAGACCTTCATCAGAAAGTGAATCTCTCTCCTTTTTACCCAACCCAGTGCTAAGCTGAACAGAGCGATGGCTCATCTTCTGTTTGGTCTGTGGAGTAGGATCTTATAGCTGGGCATCACACATGGGAAATAGAGCTGAGAACCTTGCAAAGGGATTGGTGCTGTGGGAAATGACATTGTGGCCCACAGTTGAATTGCATTTTTTTTGTACCCCTTTGTGTAAAAAGGGGAAAATCAAAAGCCAGAAATCCACTAGAAAAATCAAAGAGAGAATGACTCAAAAGAGAAGTTCTTGTGAGCTTTTTAATGAAATTCAGTACATGGTTCCTTTTTTCTAAAGAGATTTGAGAGACGGAGATTTGAAAGTTTTGTGTAATCTTATTTGGTGAAATAACTGTATATTTAAAACATAGTGTACATATGTTGTAGGAAACAAGATTTGTAGGAATTCTGTATATCCTAGGTAAAAGAAAAGTATCACAGAAAATAAAGAGACAAGATAGGGCTCTGTGTCAAATAAACACTTATTATTCCCCGTAGTTAACGTCTGAAAAAGGTATCTGTAGGAATGAGTGGCTTTACTGGTGTATGTGGTCTGCCTTGTGTCAGAGTGACACCTGGATCTGAAGGTAATTTCTCAATAGCTAAAAGTAACATAATGAAAATTGGAATGATTTTAAGACTGCAAGGTGAACAGGTTTCTGCAGGGCTAGAAGTCATTTAGTTCAACTCAAGCAGACCTTATTTTCCCAGTAATGTGCTTTCAAGCACTCAGTTGTGCCCATTTTTTTGATGCAAATCTGGCCCACCAGTGCCCCACTCACCTCCCGTGGACAGCAAGTCCGAGGCTGGCAGAGACCGTCATCTCTACAGCGCAGTTGGTGTTTCTCAGGGAGGAAGCTGACTGTCAAACACAGATACAGATAGTTTTGCCAGCTTGCCAAGCTTTGGCACGAGCTATAAAAACAACGGCACTTCCTCAGCCTAAAGGAAGATGAAGCAAGTAAATGATTGGAATCGCTGCGATGTCAACAGGCACAGTGTGTGTGATCTGGAAAAGACAGGCAGTAAGGAAAAGGTGCAGTACACATTCAGCCCTTGCTTTGTGGCATTCCCTCTGCAGCACATGCAAATGCTCTTAGGAAATTATGTGTGCAGTTGTGTTTTGCTTCTAGTGTTGATCTGATTGAAGTGCTGATGTAATTATTTGCATTAGTATAAATGAAATATACATTCTTTCGTTATCAGTCCCATTGAACTTTGTTCCCTTTTGTTGTTAATAACTCTTTGAATAGTAAGAATGTCTAGAAGGGGAAGCCAGAAGCAAGAACATCTACTCTGGAAATGTCAAGGCATGTTGGCTTTTGTTGCACCTTCCCTATGTAGAAGTAATCTGTCTTTCATTACGAAGCTCAAAGCTCAGACCTCAGCTCTGTGTGGTCTGACTGCAAGACCTTTTTCAAAGTATTAGCGTGGTGCCTTGGTGATTTCAATCCTGTAGAATATGAAGTAATCCAGGCAAGTCTCTGGCTTGAGTTGTCACAACTGACACTGGCGTAAACTTCTCATATCTCTTCTGGGTAGTATCTGCTGCCCAATGGTTTGTCTTCAGAGCCCAGATCTAATGGTGAGTCAGTGATTTGAGAATCCAGTAAATTTGTCTTTCTTCTTCCAAAGCCAATATAAAAGATGTAAATGAGTCACAAATACTGTCACCTCGCTAATTCAATAGTGATGCTCTCATTTGCTTCATTTGGATCGTGTCACTGTAGTTGGGTGACCAGGAGTGCACAGATCTGGAATTAATGACTGTAGATTGGGAGCTTTGCATTCCTGTGGTAGTTTGGGCAAGCCCTTGCCAGGAATCCGTTCAAGGCTTGGGATTTTGTAAAATTTTTATACTTTAACTTTTCAGCATGCAAGGGAGTTTGTGAGCAAACATGTGGGAAATGGACTCCAAGTTTCCCAGTTGTATTGAGATTTTTTCCTTGAAGTATGTGCAAGTGCAGAGTAAAACTATGCACTTTCTTAATGCAAGACCCATTCTAGATCACACTTCTGAGAGTCTCTGAGGTTCCTACGTGATTCAGGAAGAGCAAATATATTGCCTTTTAGGCTCCCACTGTGGGCAGATCCTACTCAGTGCAAATTGCTTCATGTGGGTAAAGAGCTGCTGCTTGAGCTTTGCTCTTTATGTGACAATTTCAGCTCCTCAGTGGGGGTGATCCTCAATTCATATTTTAGTGGGTCATCTGTCCTCCCTGCTGACTTACTTCAGTTCTAAGGCAACCTCTTCCTTGGAATACTTTGCCCTTTTCAGTAAAACCTAAGTAATTGTCTAGACTGACTGCAGTACTATCATATTATGTTAAAATAAGATCCTCTGTTGCTGTCTTTCTCCTATCATCCTTTGAGGCCTCAGATAAGAAACAAAGAAAGGAAAGCAGAAAACACAAATGGATCTTCAAACTAAGTGGAATAGGCAGCCCCTGTGTAGGGTAACAAGGATAATTTATAACTTCCTAAAAGGATTGGGTGGTTGATTTCATAGTGCACATATAAATAAAAATTATATTTCTGTTAATTTGTGTTGTAAAATAATTGCATGTATTTTAGATCTAGAGCCAGCTTTTTATCTGCAGTGTAATTCTAGAAAGTAAATCTATGGAGTCGATGTTTTTACTAATGTTTAACCTAGATGAGAGGGTTTGGAAATGCAGTGGGCACGATTTTACTTCAGATGGGGTTGGAGAGGTGAGAAGTTGGTGTCAGTGCTTTAATCAACAAACTGAGCTCTTTGAGAGTCAAAAGCTGAGAAACAACATTGATGTAACATTAGAATCTGTCTCGTAATATTGAATTTATTTAACTGTTATCCTTTTAATTGCAAGTATTTCCATTAATTGCTGTAGAAATTCATCACCCTGACCTGGCTGAGCTCCAAAAAAACTGTGGAAACTAATTAAACATTGAGTTTTAAGGTAAAATAGTAAATTGCTCATTAGCCCCCTTGAAATGCTGATTTATTACTAACAGGACAAAGTAATACTTGACTTTGCAGAAACTGGGTCATCACATTTTTTCGAAGTCTCATTGAAGGTGCTGTAGCTTAGACATCAATTAATTGGTCTTCATTTTTTTGCAGCAGTACACTTGTTTGGTTTAACCTGGCAACTACAGCCTGTGGAAGGGCAGCTCTATGAAAATGGAGTTAGCAAAGGAAATAAAGGAACAGAATCCATGGATACTACTTACTCACCAATTGGAGGAAAAGTTTCTGATAAAACAGAAAAAAAAGGTATGTGTGAATGAGAAGAAAGACAGATGATGAATAGTTAAATATCGCCACTGTTCGGATTCTGTGTTTGCTACATTTTGACAGTATTTTGAATTCAGGTTCTGTCTTCTTAAGTATCATTTTAAAACGGGTATGAAAAGCCCATAACCAGATAGTTTCTATTAGCCGAACTCTCACTGAAAATAGCAACCAACTCAGACCATTAGAAAAGGAAGGTTCAGTAGCATAGTAATTGCCCTTCTTTTGTGAGAGAAGTGAGTTGAGAGCATTTGACTTCTGTCTTAAGACAGGGGAGGGGAGACCATATTTGCCTTACTCGCACTTGTGCAGAGGTCTTGGTGCTATGCCTGTCTTGCAGACCAAAGTCAATCTCAGGCAAAGTGAAACCCTTTGTACTGACAGGTCAGAATGTGCAGAGGGGTAGAAATCTTAATGCTTCTCAAGTCATCCAGTTCTTGAAGGCGTAAGCTAAAATACAGCATCCTGTCACATCCCAGCTGAACCAGTCACAGTGAATCAGCTCACAGGAATCTACCACGGCTTCACAAAACGCCTGAGCCAGTCTGGCAGCTCCCTGCTGCCAGGGGCACAGCCCTGCTCTGCCCTCCTGCCTCCCTCTGCAGCTCCTTACTTCCCTGTGCCCGCTGCAGGGATTGTCTCTTGCACGACCGAGACACAGCAGTTCCCTATGGCAGCAGAAAAAGGCTTTGTTAAAGAATGCAGGTAATCCTGTGCCATGGAAGTGGCTGAACCAGACCTCTTGAAGGGGCAAAGAAGTGCCAGAGCTGGGATGGGAGAGGAGTGGACAGTGCAGCCAGGAGTATGGAACAGAGAGGACTGAGATGTTCAATTCCTTCCTCTGAAGTCCTGTCATTTAATGTTGTTAGATCACCTGCTCCAATATGAGTCACAATCTTCCAGTTCACCACTGTGATGATGCTTTCTGACCATGAGGAGCAGGTGGCCCTCCCATTTCTTTTTGTGATACTCAGAAAAAGCGCATAAATCGGATTAGATCAGAAAAAAAAGCGAATGCAAGTAGAATATGAAACCTAATTTTTCCAGTTGTGAAGTGGAAGGTAAAATTGTACTGATTGCTCTGCCACGATGGGAGATTTCCAGAGCTTTCAGATTTTAGAGCAGAGCAGGGATCTGATTTTGTGTGTTCCAGGGAAGATTTATGACTAAAAATATGCAACAAAATAGGACGTTGTTGTCTCAGTCCCTCCAGGAGGAAGATTCCATTGCACATCAGTGGTCTTGCAAATCAGGGTGGCACAACTAGATAGACATCATATTGAATAAATGAGCAATAGAAATATATGTAAGGAGAATAATGTTGTTATCCATTATTTTGTCCCTTAGAATGGATTGGTAGTGAATTGCAGTCAATGTTTTATACACTTTTATATTATTGTCCTGGTGCACCATGGAAAATATCTCAAGTAGTTCCTCTCAACTACGTTAAATCTTTTTGTCAATATATTACAGAATTAATAAAAGCTTTTCCGAAGCATTTGGCTTCCAAAGGACGACTTGCAGAACAAAAAGATCAAAAACCTTAAAAAGTTAAAAGCTTGAAAACAGAGAAAAGGACATGTGAATCAATAGAGACTCAATGTAGTAGGTAAAAACCCAAACCAACTGCCTTGCCCTGGGGAATCCCAATCTCTAGTGTAGCTGCACAAGTCCCCCACAACACTGAAGAGCAGAGGTCTGTGATAACAGAGTCAGTTCACTGAGGGCTTATCCAGCTGTTTCAGGTCAGTCATCAGTATAGCTAAACTGTTGTCTCACTTGTCCCCTTTCACCTTTTGTGGGTGACATGTAATCCAGCTTGTATTTTAGCAAGAAGTATGCACTGGGAAAAACACAAGAAAATTCATGTGGAATTAGTACATGTATAGTCTGGCTCTGGCTAATTTTTGCTCATTTTATTTCTTTCTGTCACTTTTAATAGATAGCAGTAGTTTTATTCCCAGTCCTCATAAAAAATTCTCCATGTGGATGTAGTGAAAGGCAGCATTTAGAAACAGGCAACTCCTTTCCCTACAGCAGGATACCATAGAAAGTTGATGCTTTGCCTGTAAACTTGAAGCCTCTGATGTGATTTCACAGGGATAAATAACTGCTGTCAGATACTGTGGCCTCCCATTTTCCCCAGTCAATGCAGCAGCACACAATTTCCAGACTTTGAAAGCATATATTTTAACTAATCTTTTAATGAAAATCAGGTTTACAAACCAGCAAGTCAGATTTCTTCAAGAAGTCACTTTATAACACACTGACCCACGGCTATGAGTTAACATTTTAATATGTAGTAATGTGATTAAAAAGTCAGACATCCTATTGATGCTGGTATTTACCAGGGGAGTACAAGGAGATTGATTGTTTCAGGATCAGCAATAATCAGCATACGGGTATGTTCTTGTGAAGGTAATTGGCACCACACTGTTTGGAGTTTTTCTTTCTTGAAGCCAAGAGAAACCTGTGAATAGAAATCTGTCTTCTGTTTTAGACTTCCAAGGAAAGTGTGCTTAGAAAGAGTAGGGAGGAATTAATACCAGTGGGCAATATTGGGAGCTGAACAAGGAATTGAATACAGATAATTAAATGATACTTTGTCATAGGAAAAATGTCTAATAAGAAACAAGAGAAGAATTGTATTGAAGCACTGTAGTTTTAAAAGCTTATTTTTGACTTTTTCATGAAAGAGCAAGGAAGTGCATGAGGACAGTCTGTGAAGAGTATATCTTCAGATGTCTTTTTTATCCAGGCAAATACCTCCTTAATTCAACCAAGCACAGAAACAGAGCTAAATTCCTTTTCTGTAAAGAAGGCACAGTGGCTCAGTGAATATGAAAACATGCACTTCAGGCATGGCTCCTACAGTGGCCTTTCCATGCTATGTGGCTGACTAAAAAATTAGCATTTGAAAGGTAGAGATACTTCAACTGCATCCTATCAGTTAGTGATAGATAGTATATATATTTTCCTGTTAACATTATCAACAGCAGCATGCACTTCTTTCCCATGTGATGACACAAATGGATATATAAGTGCATCTGTTTTTTTAAAGTTTAGATAAAATTGTTTCTAAAGCAAAGGTATTTTCAGCCAAATGTGAAATAGTCTGAGATACATTCTTTTGAGCCTAGAAACGCTAGCATGATATTCAGCATAATTTGATAGCATCATTTACTGAAAATTCACCCAGACTAAAGACATAATCCTTTTTATTTTCAACAAAAAAAACCCAGACCTTCTCACTTCAACAAAATAAGAAGCAGTTGCTGTATTTTAAAGACCTTAAACACTGACCAATAATGCCATTAACTTCAAAAATGATACTCTATCCTTGACTTTTTACTTCTACCATGTTGTAATTGTTTCACATTAATTACCATGTGTCAATAACTCCAAAAAGTTCCTTAGTGTTTTACTTAACCCCAGGTAATTGCTTGCAAAGAATCATTAAGATTTAATATCTCTGGAGTACCAGAAATACAGGAAAAGGTTTATAAATTTACACAAGCCTAGTAGGATCTTTTATGAGTTGGAGTGAGAAGGGATCCAGTTTCATTGTCTAACACAGAACATTTAATTCTCTTTTTAAACCTCAACATTCAAGATTTTTTCCATTAAGCTAACTGGGGAGTAGTCTCACCTTGAACATTGTTAAAGCAGCAATTTGGAGATATTTTAACTCACAGACTAAGGGGTGTATTTTTTTCACAGCATTAGATTATGAGTTCTGTACACTAAAAATAGATGGGTTTACGTGATGAGGTGTTAAAAGTTAGCTCCTGGTTCTTGCTGTGGCTTTAGTGACACAAAGCAGCCGTAAAGCTGAGAGATCCAGTACCCTGAGAATTGCTCCTGCCTTGTAAATTAAATCTCTATTCATTAAGAATGCTAAGTACTTCCTACGCTAGTTAAAGCCTCTGTAAGGTCCCACTGAGGGTCTTTGTTATTAACGTGTTCAGGAAAAGCTGGTCCTGGCTTTGCTGCTGCTTTTTTTCACTTCCAGTGTTGATTTATAAAATTTCACGTACATTATATTGGATTAGAAATTTATATGCATTATTGTAAAAGGTGAGAGTCCACTCACTTTGCTCCTCGATGTTTTTAACTGTGGTACTGGAATGAAACGAAACATAAATGGTTATGACTGCTGAATTCAATCTTCTCTTGACTCATCCTCTGATGGCACATACAATCCTGCTTTTATTCTAGTTGAAAGGATGGAAATGTCAGAGTTTTGCAAACCTTTCAGTGGAATTAGCTCCAATGTTAGCAAGATTGGGTCTGTGATTTGCAGCATGTCATGATGCCGATCACAGACAGGCATTAAAAAACACAAAGTTGGTGATATAAGCCAGCAAAGCAAGCCAGCTCCAATTTAGTTTGGCAAAGTCTTCTTTATGCATTCCATTCCCCTTTCTATTTCAGCTCTCTCATACCCATGTGTGAAGTTACATATTGTGGATGTCTGCAAATTTATTGTTCAGCATTATGAAATTATGCCAGTTTTCTCTTCAGAGTGCCTGTCCCCGTCCTCGTGCCCCTATTACGTTTTCATGCAGAAAGACCAAGCCAGAACAGATGTTCTTTATTTCTCCAGGACTAGATTATCACTACCATAATAAAACCATTAGGCATGGTGATTAATAGAAATCTAGGCTTTGCACACAGGCTCTGAACTACTGGGTTTGATGGATTTACTGTTGTCACTGGGGTCCATTTGTGTAGCTTATGCCATGCCCCTTCAGCAGCAGTCTGAAATAGGTGTCAGAGGGGAAATGTCCCACTGCCTTCTCCCTGGCTGTTCACAGTTGAATGTGGTTTGTTTCTATAGCTGATAGGTAAAGACCATGGTTTGTGCAGCAGCAGTTCCACCTTTTCATATTCAGTGCAGTGTTCCAAGATTTCTAGGGCAAAATTGCCCCATGACACCTCTTGCTGGAAACATTGCATGCAGGTTTATTTGTGTCTTCCAACGTGTTCAATTAAAAATGCAATTATTTCAGCGAAATGCCCTCTGTTTAGAGATTGGTTTTTTTATATTCCATTATATATCTAAGGCACATTTATACCTTGTGACCTGTTATCTTCCTGCCATGACTACACAACTGACTGTTTTGTTTGTTTCTGGAAAATTAGTGTTTCAGAAGGGCCGGGCCATAGATACAGGAGAAGTAGAGATTGGAGCACAAGTCATGCAGACCATCCCCCCTGGTTTATTCTGGCGCTTCCAAATTACTATTCATCACCCAGTGTACCTGAAATTTAACATCTCACTGGCGAAGGATTCTCTGCTGGGAATTTATGGCAGAAGAAACATCCCACCTACTCATACACAGGTAATTTGAAATAATCCTGCTTCTGTCATGCTTACATTTTCAAACAGCAGTGGATGTGTGTGTTCACAATACATTTTCAAAGCAGGGAGGGAGGAAGGGACTGGCTGTAACCACAGAAAGCAGTCTGGCAATCCCTTTCTTTTGCTGAGCTCTAGCTCTATGCTCAAACCATTCCCTCTCTGGGGAAGAGACAGTGTCCTACCAGAAAGGTCAGCAGCTGTGACCACAGGGATGTGACTGTCTGGGAGGCTGGACAGGTACACACTGTTCCAGAGCTTCAGCATCCTCTGTGCAAGGGCAGTGGGATGAAGTACCAGATCACTTGAAAATGCTTTAATCTTTTATTGACTCTATTAAAACAAACAGATTGCATAGGCAGTATAAAGAGTTAACAGAAGAGAAAAAATCTCTTTTTGGTTTCTAAGATGATGGTGGGGTTTTTTGAGTGCTTACTCCTGGGGATTTGGCAGGAGAAAACCTAGCTAATATTAAAATAAATAAATATTACTTATGGTATATTGCTGGTCACATTTAACTTTTTTATATTTTATAGACTTAATGTATTTGGCATATGAAGCTGTCATTTCTATAGATAATAGATCTTTCATCATTCTTTATAACAGGATCACACTCCATAGAGTGTGATAAACATACCTGGAATAATGGAAAGACTGTTTGGAAGGGACCTCTGGAGATCCTCTACTCTAACTTGGGAATTTACTAGAGTTCTGGTGTTAGAAATACTTTTAACAGTCATTGACTTTAATTGGAGCTGGATCCTCAGCTGATCTGACATTGAACTTTACTGAAAATCAGAATGCCTAAAACTCTTAGAGAAATCTATACTTCTCTTGAACAAGGATTCATAGAAAGGTTTACATCTCTGATGCTTTGAGGTCAACAGATCTTAAAGTTGTCAGCATCAAACCAGTTAGGTATTAAGACCTTTCATGTAAAAAAATATATACTTACTTGCGTTAACAAAATTATATCAAAACTAAATATATGTTTTATTTATATTTATGGTATCAATAGTAAAGGGCAGAGATTTAAGAATCTGGTATAGAACAATAGGTTCTTTAATCTGTTCTTAGCATTTGAGATGAATAGATACATAGCATAGGCACTACAGCTTGGGAATTTTGGAATTATTCCCATTAAGGAAATGTAATTTTTGGAGTAAATCTGCTGTATTTAGTGCAGCAAGTCTGAATTTACCCTGTCACAGCAAAAAGCAAGTTTTGATGCCAGATTTCTGACCTACCGTAATGCTTTTTATATGTAACCTGAAGCTGAACAGACCGGGTTATGCAACTGCTGTCCACATCGGTGAATGCTTAAGCAATTCCTCATAAGATTTCAACTGTTTATTCCTGTTTGAAGGAGACATGCAGAGCAGGTTCATGAATATTTGCTAGCTGGTTAATTTTTTCCTCATTATTATTTCAGTTTGATTTTGTAAAACTGATGGATGGAAAACAGTTAATTAAACAGGAACCAAAAAACTCAGAGGAGCCTCCGCAAGCTCCCAGGAACCTGATCTTAACTTCACTGCAAGAGACAGGTTTCATCGAGTACATGGATCAAGGAGCTTGGCATATGGCATTCTACAATGATGGAAAGAAAGTGGAGCAAGTGTTTGTGCTCACTACAGCAATTGGTAAGAGCAATTACAGTAACGTTGTTATTCCCACTATTACACTGGAAAGGGACATTCGAAAAGAAATTATTTACCTCAGTTCCAGCTTCTCTTAGGTATTGTCTTAAATATGTTTTATTTCAGCTTAGTTTAGTTTGCCTCAGCGGAGCAACTTCATGTTTAAGCCGATATTGGACAAATCGCAACATTTGTATACTAAAGATGGATGTTATCAAATTAATTAAGTGTGAAGTTTTTCTGTGTTAAGATTTTTATATGATGGCTTAAATGCTTGAGTAATTTCTGGTATTATCTTGTTCAAAGTAACAGAGATTATATCTACCCTCTCTACTTACATGGGAACCATAAATCCTACAAAAATTATCCAGGCTTCAAGTTTTTATTTCCCGTATTTGAGTCAGTTAGAAGTTAGAAAATCTAAAAGGTGGCCTTTTTGGATTTTGGTTGTGAATACTGTTGTTTTATCCAGTTATTCAAATGCACCATTTTGTTTGGAATACAGAGGGCAAATACAGGAGGCAGTGTCCTGACTGCAAATCAGATTCCTACTGCCTTTTTAACACATATAGGTGGAAAAATGTTTGCAGAGGTAGGTGAGTGAGCAGTCCTCACACGTAGAGCTTTTTTAGGATTTAAATTTAGGTAAAGTGTTGTATTTATGACAGTCTCGGTTTGCTGCAAGACTTTAACCACTATACCCTTTGGTTAACCTGTTCTACCATATGTTTAGCAAGATGTCTTTACTAGTAATGGACATGCCATCTGCTCTTCAGAAAAAATGGATACTATTTTTACTTTGTGGTAAACACCTTGCAGAGTAGGAGAGTATGATTCAAATAACAAAATTCTGAAGGACTTACAGAAAAAGAAAGTTAGAAAATGAGACAGAGTTTTAATGACTGATTCTGGTATAAAAGTTCGTATTTGCTCTGTTCAGGAAAGTGTATCTTTTGCAAGCAATAAAATATGAGAAAATAATATTCAAGTGATTTGTGAAGCATTGTTGCAGATTCTCTACAAAGACAATAAAACATGGCCAAACTCCAGCCCAGATCAGAATCCAAATCCCTGCCTCCTTGTTTATTTCTGCTGTAAGATCGCAGTGTTTATACAGAAGGGTTTCATTTAGTAGCATAACCTCTCAAAAACAAAACAAAAAAAAAAGATTAAATTAGTTGCTGCAGTTTAGTTCTTGCTGTAGTTGGTAAAAAGGAACTTGTCCATCCCTTATGTGGCCAATAGGCAGAACAAACTGTGTCTTAAAATAGGAAAGCGTGTTAGACATAGTGCAGGCAGGAATCCTTATACTTCATCTTCAAAATGGCTGCAAGAAGACATTTTTGGGGAAAAAGACTGTTCATGCTGCAGGAAGAATCTGTTGCAGATGCATTTGAAAATAGTGCTAGCTATTTTCTTTTCATAACCTGTATATCTGCTTCTCCTGGATTTCTGTGCAAAACGGTTCCTGGTTGTCTCTTTAGGGGTTTCCAAAAGCAAAAAAACCCTTGAGCCACACTTCTTACCCAGACTGGGCTGGCTCATATCTGACATCTCTGCCAACAAAGGAATCAGCCAAGACCCGAAACACTCAGAGTAGAGCAAGAGCTTGGATGCATCTCTGCTGTGTGCTACTGTGAACCAGTCATGCCCTCCCCATCAGCGTCTGCTAGGTAGTTTTTCAAGATGCTCAGTGTTAGTTATGTACAAAATTGATTTTGCTGACACTTTGGCTAAAGCTCGGGTCAGACTTTCCCTTGAGGAGGGTGATTTGCATGCAGAATGTGGCATGTCTCAAGTTTTGTTAGCTAAATAAAGGACAGCCCAAAGTGGACATTGCACTGGGGGGGAAGTAACTTCTCAAACCATTAATTCTTTATTTCAGGTCAATGTAGGGATCATTTACTATGTGATTCCAGAAAACTGATAAGGCAGGCAGGCGCATACACAGAGCAAGAGAAGAGTTGATAATGAACAGCAATATGAAAAATTAATAATAAGCAGCATACCTGTGAAAAAACTTACTCCTAAAAATGAGCTGGTTTTTGACTTTGAAACAGACATCTGTGTACAGGAATCAATCCTTGTCTGTCCAAGTGCCCATAAATAGGATCAAAATAGTTACATCACTTATGTTTATTAGTTATAGGATGTGCTTATAATGCATCATTTGACAATGTTTGAGTTTAAAAGCATAACAGATTAAATATTCACTGGTATGCTCTTTCTTGAGAAAGCTTTTCCTCCCAAATCTCTTGCTATGGGCAGATACTCTTCAAAAAGATCTAGGTTTTCTTCTTGTTCCTCAACAGTTGTTATTTTGTGGGAAAGGAGTCATATTTCCCATCATCCTGTAGTCAGAAGTACCTCCCACATCTGTTAGTGCACGAGCCCGTGGAACAGTCCCTGTTCCTCTCTTCCATCCTGCATGGCATCTGTGTGGGCTGCAGAGCACCTCAGTCCTACAGCTCACCTGACAGTGACCTGCTCCAGGCAGGATCATCTTAGCTTGAATTTACTTCATATTCTTTATGCAAACCCCACATAAATCAGTGAATCTACTGCTTTCCTGAAGGAAATACGTGTGTAAATTAAAGCCAGCTAATCCATGTTCAGATATGAGCCTGTCCTCCAGTGTGTGAGGTTAAGTGCCTTACTATCCAAAGCTGTGTGATAAAATGTAGGCAAGTTTAAAATCAGAACTGAAGGTGGGTTTTTTTCCCCTTCAAATCTAGTTCTTAGTCCTTTATCGCATTGAATTTCATCACCATACACAAGACTATTTTTTTGTTTATCTGATTGTATAGAAGTGGAAATCCTGCCCTTCTCCAAGGGATTCAATTCACGTGGTTCAAGTGAACACCATAGAAGGCAATTTACTCTATAAACAGGTTTCAAACAAATTACTTCAGCAATAAAAGAAAGTGTTTAAGGTGGATATTTTTCAGCAAATACTCGGGATCCTGCAGTGCTTTTAATGGTGGTAAATTTTACATGAAACACTTACTTTAAAAGCTTTTTGGTGTAATATAAATGATGCACCTGTTATCTCAAAGCTGTCAGGACAAAATCTAATAAATATTTGTAAGCTGCTTGAACAGGAATTTTGTTTTATGGCTCCCTATGAATGAAAATGGGCTTTTTACTACTCCTGCACCTATTTGTATGTTGAGATGTGTCCTGCAGAGTGAGGTGAAGATGCCATTCATTTCAAATTCAACCAATTTCTGTTTTCTTTGTGCACAATTGTCTGAATAAACAGAAATTCTGGATGACTGCTCTACTAATTGCAATGGGAATGGAGAATGTATCTCAGGGCACTGCCACTGTTTCCCGGGATTCCTTGGTCCTGATTGTGCAAAAGGTAATCTCATATTAACTGACCCACAGTGCATGACAAGGATCATGATTATGGTGTGTGACTGCTGGGCTTGCACAGATTCAAAGTGATTAAAGGAGATTAAATTCCTTTTTCCAGCCAGATGGCAGATACAGTATAAGCACACATGTGGAAAGTTTCTTTATGCTGTACTTGAGTTAACATGCATCAACCACTTCACTCTCCCTGACTTTCAGAGTTAATAAGTTCCTCCATCCCTTTTCGCATCCTCTCCATAATAGTAAAATACATTTTTTATTAAGTGTGTTAGCTTTGCATAATGTTTTCTGTTATTTAAAAGTGAGAAACAGTTTCACTCTGGCGAAAACATAAGTAAATCAAATGCTTCTGTGGTCTTAACTTGAATAGGGTGTAGATAAGAAAACCTAAAGCAGCTTACAGACAGTTTTCCAGCATTAAGGCAAAAAACATGTTAAGTGACCTTATTTCTTTTTCAGATATTTCTGTCGGTATTATCCATCATCTGCTGCATATGATGTCCAGAAGTTCTCATGTTTTTCCAATGTCTCCTCAAATGTAGGGTTGACTTTATTTTTTTTTTTTTTTAAGACCTCAATTGGCTCAGAAATAGATACTGGATTGTAAAACTGAAATTCCACATTGCTGGCTTACATGCAGATTAGTAATGGCTAAAACCTCAGTAACATCAAGTCTTCTTAGAAGGAAAAAGAAAAGGGCAGGATCTTGCTTCAGTACACAGGGAAGAAATATTAATCTTACTGAAAATCATAAGCAAGCATCACTGCAAATTTTCTGCAGAGGCCAATCAAGGGGAGAGAATTATTTTTGTCTTCTAAGATATCCCATTTCAGGTCAAAATTAAGGTATACAAGTGAGACAGACTGAGGAGATGAGGACATTGTGTTCCTGCTGCACTACCTAGTTCAAAGATTTCAGTCTGTTACAACCCTTGAACCAAATGGAGGATCGAGGAGCTGGAGTGGAAAAGCAATTTTACAGAACGATAAATGCAATAAATGTTAATCTATGTAAGTATGTAAATACATTAAAAAGGTCAATCTGCCTTCTTCAGATTCCTGTCCAGTGCTGTGCAGTGGAAATGGAGAATATGAGAAAGGTCACTGTGTGTGTCGAAATGGGTGGAAAGGACCAGAGTGCGATGTTCCAGAAGAGCAGTGTATTGATCCAACCTGCTTTGGCCATGGTACTTGTATCATGGGCGTCTGCATCTGTGTCCCTGGATACAAAGGAGAGATTTGTGAGCAAGGTTGGTGAATTTTCCTTCTCTATAGCTAGGGGGGTTGATTTTTGTCTTTAATCGTCACTCCTGTTTAAAGGTAGTTAAAAACTCAAGGATGTGTGATTAGCTTTCTGTGGAGCAGTACTGACTGTTTTGCTCAAAACTACCTTTCTTGTACTGTCTTGTAGAAAGTAATGTTAAAATAGAAAATTTTGGAAGGTAAAGGTATTCAGGTCTCAGTAACAGTCAGTGGACTGATCACATAAGATTCACATTTTTATTCAAAAGGATAAAATTATTTATCATTGTCTAATAAGACTAACTAATATTTGTAGCATGGGCAATCTTCTGAAATACTCCATTGAAGCTCAGTAGCAAGACCAGAACTGGAAGTTTTTGCAAGCAGTGTATTCTCAATCCTCTGAAAGTTTTCTGGAAAACATCCCAGCAAGCAAGGATTCCATTTGTTTTTTTTTTCTGTGAAAGTTATGAGACCATCTAAATTTGTCTCCAATTTTCTTCTCTCAGGCTCCAGATACCTTTTTCAGGAAGGGTGGCTGGTGTCCCCAGCGTTCCTTGCTGCCTGTAACCACAGTCCCTTAGCACACACCATCAGAGAGCCTGTCCAGGCTTTTTTACTGGGCCAAAAGCTCAGGGTAAAGCAGATGGAATATCATTTAATTAAAATACGATATGGTGGTTCTCCACAGCAATCAGACGATCGTAATCAGCTTTTCCCTTCCTTCATTCTGTCACACCTTAGATTTTTCTGACAATGTAAAACCAAAAGAGCAGCAAACAGGCTCAGTTTACCAGAGCAGACTGTGTAATTCTGTTGTCATATGTGATTTTTACTGGGAACCTGTGTTCAGGGTACTAAACTGGCATCCTGTAAGGCTTGGCTAATAAAAGGTGGGAAATTATGAGAACAAGTAACTGTATTTTTACTGGTTTTGGTACTGACATGTCTCTGTCCTCATGTATAGACAGAAGCAGTTGTTGTTTCCCTCTTAGCATGTCTGAGATAGCTCATCAGCTTTGACTTTCTTCCCCGTGCATAGCCTTGGAAAGCAGAACTCTCCTCATGCTTGCCCTGATTTGATGATTTTTCACTGGTCCCCTTAGCCTGAAGCTAGTGACAGCATACTTTGTGCTTCCTGCTATATAGATTTTTGGTAATTCTTTTGAGTAGCACACAGAGGAGGCTTTTTATGTGGCTTGAATTCTCTAGTCAGAAAAATGTCCAGGATGGTTTTGATGGATCTGACATACCTGGGAATGGTTTTTAAAGGGAAGATCAAGAGAATGCTTCTGACATAGTCAGTTGTTGGTAGAAAACCCAAATGGGGAAAAGCAACTAATGCACAGATTTCCTCAGTGAGGCCATGCTGCTGAACAAATCTGTAGCTGGTGAGAGGCTGACTGCTGGTTTTAGTTGCTTTGTTTCTTGCCATAATGTGACCCTGCAAAATGGTTTTGGGGAAAAAAATGACATAAATGTACTCAGCTATTGAAACCAAGCGTGTGAAAACATTGGATTTTTATAGTAAGCAACTTGTTTAAATTAAAAAAGACAAAGGTAAAATGATATAGAAATATGGAGGATGAAACAAACCTGTGTAAACCAAGTATGGTGGGGTTTTATTGTATCATTGTGTGCTTGACATGACTGTTCAGTTTGTATTGTATAACATACTTTGTGCAGTAGTGAGGTAATTCTGTCACAAATGAATTAAGATTACATTATTGTATGTAAATATGATTTTAGTCTAATAGCAGTACTGTTAACGGAGCGGACATAGTAACAGATGTACTATCCAGGGAGCACCAGTAGCTGCATGTATTCATTGCTGTGGGAGTCCTTTGAATTTGTCCTGTCAGATTATCTTTCCTAAAATGGAGTCACTCAATTAATTTTAAAATATCAGCAAAATAAAGAGCTGTCTCGGGATGAGACAAAATTGTCGTGTATTTTTGTCCTGTGCTTAGCAAGATGAGCATTGTCCAGAAGCAGTGATTCCTCTCTTTTGGAATTACACTGTGCTATGCACAAGCCTGGAGGGCTGAAAAAGATAAAAAAAATAAATCCTGAAATTAAATCTTGAATTGGTGGTGTAGCAGTTCAAAAGAAAAAGCATTACTTCTTTATTTTTAGGTCAAAAGGTCCAGTAAACTGGAGGCCATTAATCTCTGTGTCTGAAGTATTTAGCCTTCCCTTCCTGAAGCAGGGAGCATCTCCTCATTCCCGTAGCACAGAGCACTGTTTGTTAAGTTTACAATTTAATTATTAAAACAGTGCTTATGCTGATACTTGAAAAATACATAGCAGAACTTTCACAGTGCCTCTTTACCGTCAGCCTGAAGCGTGATCTGACATGGAGAGGCTTCTGGCTAATTGTTCTCCGTGCTCAGACCCCACGGATCCTGTTCATCCTGCAGCCTCCAGAGAAGGCAGCTGCTTCCTGCTTCAAACCTGCCTGGTTAAAACAGTGCTGGGGCTTTGTGAAAGAATATGCTGCTCATACAGGACTAACCAGCCGATTTGAATTCTTCTACAGAGCTCCTGAATTTTTCACTAGGAGTAGTTTAATCCAAATTGAGAACAAATGTAGCTCTTTGTTTGCAACTTGTTCATCAGTACGTTATGACTTTTATGAAGCTGTTCATTACCTGCAATTGCCCAGCACATACTTTTTATGAGTGTATGATATTTGGGTTTTTTTGCAGCAAGCATAGAGTCAGAAATTCGTTACTTGGAGTTGGTGGATGACCTTTTTTTTGTAGCAAATTTTCAACTGTAGAGATAGCTTTCCACAGGAATATGAAACAATAAATCTTTCTTTTCCCAGGTGTAAATAAAACACAGAGCACAAATACCCAAGCGGAAATACAACACACAATTATAGAAGTAATTATTAATTGCTCCAGCTCTTTCCCAACCCTGCTGCTGAAGCATAGACTTCACAGGCTTAGACCAATAGACCTGTCCTGGGAATCTGTGCTTTAAAAGTAAGACAATATCCATGAAAGACAGATTCAGATGGCCTCTAACTGTCTCCATGCTTGCTTTTTTCCTTGGTATTGGCCTACACTTTTGCAGATGCTAACACAGACTATGTTTATTAACATAGTTTCAGTTAGGCTGCACAAAAATTACCAAATTGCTCTGAACCCCTGACGTTGTTTTTCACTAGTAAATCAGTGTGAAGTTGCAAGTTTTATGCTCTAAGTTGTATGTTCCCTGCTTTCCAGAGGACTGCTTGGATCCGATGTGCTCCGGCCATGGTGTGTGTGTCCAAGGGGAATGTCACTGCTCCACAGGCTGGGGTGGTGTGAACTGTGAGACCTCCCTTCCCGTGTGCCAGGAGCAGTGCTCGGGGCACGGCACTTTCCTCCTGGACGTGGGACTCTGCAGCTGTGAGCCACAGTGGACGGGCTCAGACTGCTCTACAGGTATGCTGGAGATTTTGCTTTATCAACGTTGCCTGTGCTTTCTGCTGACTTTCAGTTGCCAAGGATGAGAAATGCATTTTCCTTGTGGCGAGAATGTTGTGTGTCTGAAGGTGTGACAGCAAGAACAGTAGTCCAATAAGAGTGCAAGTGCCTCCTGGCATGCACGAGAGGCAGGCATGACTCTCACCTAGGTTGTTGAGCGCTGATCAGGCTCATGCAATCAGGGAATCCACAATTCTGAGAGAGATTGGGAGTATATTAAAGAAAAATTCTAAATGCAATGACTGATGAGTAAGAAAGCTCTGTCAAAAAAATCTTTAAGCAAAAGTGACCATCCGTTCTTTCATGCTGGGTTAAAAAATCTCATCTTTCTTAAAGTACCATCAAGGTTTGTTTCCCACTAAACTTGATTAAGAGTTGAAATGGGTTTCCTGTGTGCTTTGTACATTTACATTTCGTTTTCTTGAAATGAATGCACTCTGCACATTTTACTCTGTAATGGAGCGTGTCATTACCAACGTACGTACTACTATTTTTTTTCCCCCTTTAGAGCTCACAAAGCCAAAATCTCACATGATAAGTAGCACATCCCAGTACAGAATAGATGCAAGTGACAGATTTGCTGAATGCAGTGGAATACAACCAGTGGTCCAAGTCACCAATTTTTCTCAGAAATCATCATTCAAAAGAGCACTTGGAACAGTATAAATTTCCACTCAGGTCTTTTAAAATGTATGGTTATGATCTTAAGTAGGGGCTTACAAAACGTCCCCCTACATGATGAATTTTTAAGCAACAAAATATTGACATGCTAATAATTCTCAGTGTTTATTACAAAGACATTCTACACTCCAAAATTAATGCATGTAATTTTAGTCTGACACTGTCAGATATGGCACCTGCTTTGATAAGGATTGAATTTTTATTGGCTTTCAGCAAAAGACCAGTTACTTTCATTTTGATCCTGTATTTTATTATATGTTAAAAATATTCCATGATGGTTTTTATAGTAGTACTTTCATTAATGAAGCAAATAATTAGGAAGGGTGTTAGCTAGGTGGTAATTTTTTGCTCACAAAATATTCAGACTAATTCTGTTCTAATCCAGTATTATTGTAGCTCAAAAAATGATGTTAATCTCAGATAGGTATGTTGTGTCAGCTGCACGGGGCAATTAGATATTTAGTTAGGGATCAAAAAGCTAATAAATAACCTCCAAAACTGTTTTGATCAATTTTTAGAAGGCAACTTTTCTCCTTATCTCCATCAACCAGTAGGGAAAATAGCTCTCTTCCTCCCTACTGTCTTCTGAGTTACCAAAGGATGATTTTACAACCAGTAACAGTCATCTCTTTATAGCCAGATACTTCTGAGTTCTCCTTTCAGATATATATTTATTCACAGGTGTTAGACTAGAATCAGAATGGTCTTGGCAGTAGTGTTAGACTGAAGTATAGATGTCCATTTGTGCTTGAGTTGTTCTTCCCAGGATCAGCGATTGCTACGCATCTTGAAAATAAAGCTTGATTTTAGTGAGGAAAGAAAACATCAAATGAATAAGTAAGAGAACATAAAAGGAGTAACAAGGTCAGAATAAACGAGCTGTCATATGTGAATGGAAAGGCTCATGAGGTTCTGTACTATGAAGAGGATGAAAAGGGTAAACCACAGACTGCTCATCTGGAATCAAACAAGGAGAGCTCGCAACTGATAGACGAGCAGTCTCTCAGCCTGCCTCAAACCCTTGCACTCTCCTGCCATCTCTGTACCACATCATTGTCAGTGCTCTGAAAGTTTGCCTTTCTGTATCACCTTGAAGAACACAGACTCTTGTCCTGAGGATTTCTGTGTTCCCCAGGAAATTCCATATACTTTCAAAATAAAGGATCCGTTAGTTTAAGTTCTATGTTTTTTTGTAACTAGAAATGAATATATCTTGGCATACTTTAAAAGGGGGAAATAACAAAGGTTCCAGAATGTTTGTGAATGTAGTATTCCAGATCCAGTGTGACCCACCTGAAAAGGGATGAGCCATCTCTAGGATACCTTCCCTTCCCTGCCCATCTCTATCTCTTCAGATAATACAAACTTCCATTTCACAAGTGGAAGACTGGGGAAAGACAAAAATCAGTGTGGATATGGAGAAAGAGAGATGTGTGGCCCATGCATATCCTGAAGTATCGCCAGTATTTTTTGGAGCTACAGCCTGAGCTCTGGAAAAATTCATGGATTTTTGAGGCTGGAAAAGACCATGTTGTTCATGCTGTTTGATTTTTCTGTGGAACATTATCAAAAAAAAGAATTCATCCTTCAGTTTTTGTTTGACACTCATAGTTTCTGTTTAGTTTTTTCAAATTCAAGCTTCACACAAAGACCAAAAATGAAGGATAGTCTACCATGTCCTAAGCAAATTGTTTCAATTTTGCCTGACCTTCTCTTCTAAAAAGTGCGCCTTCCGCTCCCGCTTTGAATAGGTGCAAAATCCTGCAATTGTGTTTCTGTGAGGTGAATGACTGTCAGATTATCTGTAGTCCTTCCAGATGTCCACCCCATCTCTGCTCTGACCTGTGGCCTGCCAAAACCTAATTTCAGTGCACCACTTCAGGATCTTCCTTCCAAATCCAGAGTTCCTACTGGCCAGTTGCCATCCCCTGAGGGCCGGAAAATCCTCTTGCAGAACTCCAAAGCAGCTGTCAGGGTATGTTTTCATTGAACTGTTTGAATTGGTTCTCAATAAAAGCAGCTCAATATGGCTTGAAAGTCATTCAGATACTTAGTAATGCTAATCCTGCACTACTTGTAGGACACAACTTATGCTGGCTTTTTATTCAGCTCCGTTAAGATCCATCCTTTCAATATCCTTAGCTGGATATCTGTTTCAGACATATTTGGCCTCTTTCTACCCTACAATATTGAACTTCCATGAAAAGTCATTTTCTTTTGTTAGCTCAGTTTTCAATTTACCTCTCCCAGAGATGACATGGTTTTCATTCAGGCTTTGCCTTGCTGCTTATGCACCTCTTTGTAAAGGCTCTTCCTCTCAGCTAACGTTCAAACATACAGATAATATGCTTCTGATTCTTCCTTCTTCTTTAGGCAGCATCAACTAAATTTGGCTTGGAAAATATTGGCAGATTTTTAGCTACACCAATCAAAACAACGTTGGTAGGTGTCTTTTCTACAGCCACATGTGAGATCAGGAGAAGAAATTAAAAAAGCACCTGTCAGTACCTAAAATTTGGTTTATTATATGGGGAAGATCAAAGTGTTTTAATTGTTCTATGTGACTGTAGACCAACATGTATTTACCATGAGGGAGATGGATTAGCCTGTTATGCCAATTTTCCAACTGGCTTGAATGCTGAAGGTCAAAAACAAGTTGTGGCTTTCACTGCTTCAAAATCATATCAATGTCAGAAATTTTTAGAGAAGCATCACATTCCAGTAGCTTTCAAGTGGGACATCACTGCTATAATTCCAGTTGCAAGAATCTCAGGGCTGCAGTCATTATTCAAGCAGTGTCACTGAATCTTTCATTCCTGCTGGCCTGGGCAGACATTGGGTGTGGATAAAGAACAGGAATTCCAGGCTTTGCTCTAAGTGAGACTGATTATATAACATGTTTTGTGAAAACCACCTGTAGTGGAAAAGGTCATCCTTGGAGCGTTTTGGAGTCTCAGCATCTTTACACCAGCTGAATCCAGTTATTTAGAATGTGAAAATCCACTGTTAGTCAGACCTTCAACATAGAGCTCAGCTGACCTGTGCAGGATGGGCGTGACTTACTGCATACATGACACAGTCAGTAGGATGGAGGACTGACAGCAGAGTATTTTAATGTCACCAGGACTTCAGAATAGTCAACTTTCTACTTTCTGTCTGTGCATCTTTGTTGCTTTATTTATAGGCTGTCATCCAAAATCCCTTGATGTTAATGAGTCATCTCCCTTTGAGGCGTATAAGGCAGTGCTTTTCAGAAAGATAAAATCAAACTCATGAGTACTGACTGTTCATGTCAGGTAGAAGGGAAGCTCTGGATAATTGAAGGTGCAGCATCAACAAACTGAACAAAAAAACTCATCTTCTGTTCTCAGATTGACAACTTTAACATGGAGGCTTGAGATTAAATATCAAGAGAAAATGGATGACAGAGTTGTTCAGGGGGGCAGAGCCTTAACTAGCATAAATTAGTGTAACTGCAGTAATACCACCAGTGCAATCCCAGTGTGTTTCAGGTGAGAATCCAGCCCTGAGTCACTAATTAATTGCAGCACTGAAATATTATAGACCAAGAAATCTGTGGCAGAGCTGATACCTCTGACATCCTGTCCTGCATTCGTTTCTCTAGACTCTATTCAGTCAAAGTAGGCCAGTTTCTGTCCCCTTCCTTCAGAACATTTGTCATAATTCCACTGAATCCATTTATATCACTGAAGCAACCTAATTATGATTGGGAAAAGAATACTGGCAGTTCTTAGTCACAAAAACATTCATCCTAAAATGATTATATGGAGATGGTATATATTTAGCATATCTATTTTTGGTTAAGCTCTCCTAGCAAGATTGGTGGTAATTTTACAAAGGGTAAAAATGGATCAGCAGCCTTTTCCTTCAGTATCTTGTAAAGCGTAAAACCTCTTAAAAGCTGAAGTGCTTTAAAAAATGCAAAATGTTGTAATTGTTGTAAATTGATATGTGCGGAGTGGAGTAATTTAAAAATCATTAGAAGTCTGCATTTTTTAAAGTAAAGTGCTTCAAAAAGAAATGAAGGCATAATACAGTATATTAATGTAGTTCAAGACATCTCAAATAGGTTTCAAAATTAAACATCAAAAACTGCAACTTGAAAAAATAATTAGGTGAAACCATTTCATCATAATCAGGAACTCTTCAGATATAGGAAGCTGCAGTGTATGGGTGTCAGTCATTCTCATTCACCAAGGACAAGGATATTCACTACAAAGAACTTGCAGCAGTGAAAATAGCCTTGAAATTTCCTC